ATCTGTTTAGCTTAGCATGTTGTCAGGGTTCATCCAGGTTGTAGCATGTATTGTTGGTTCTTTATTCCTCTTTATTATGAAGTGACAAGCCGTTGTGTGGATAATGGTCCTCAGTGGACAGGCTTTTGGGTCATTCCTACTCATTGGTCATTATGAATAAGGCTACTCTGAACATTCAAGTACATGTCCTTGTGAGGGCGTAACATCTCCATTTCTCTTGGCTGTATATGAGAAGCAGAACTGTGGGGTCACACGGAACATGTTGCTTGACTCTTGGCATAATGGCGGGGCTATTCCACAGTGTCTGCTGCATTATGTTCCCACCAGCACTGCACAGGCTCCAGCTTCTCCCATCTCCACCTGTCTCCCATTGTGTCACCTGTCTCCTTGAGAACAGCCATCCCAGTGTGTGAACTGTTTCTTCTTGTGGTTTTGGTTTGCGTTTTCCTGATAGCAAAGTGGGCAGTGACTGTATTTTCATTTCCTATTGGCAACTCATGTATCTTCCCTGGTGGAATATCTACTGAAGGCTGTTACCTACTTTAAAAGATTTATTTGTTTTAAGCTGGGCATGGTGGTGCATGCCTGTAGTCCCAGCACTTGGGAGGCAGAGGCAGGCAGATCTCTGTGAGTTCAAGGCCAGCCTGGTCTACATAGTGAGTTCCAGGACACCTGGGGTTACAGGGAGACCCTGCTTCAAAAAGACCAAAAAAAAAAGGTTTATTTATTTTATCTATTTATTTATGTATATGTGTACGTATATACATGATTTTATGTGCACCACATGCATGCAGTGCCGGCAGAAGTAAGAGGTTGTCAAATCTCCTGGAACAGGCGGTTGTGAGGGGCCATGTGGGTGCTGGGAACTGAACCTGGGTCCTCTGCAAGAGCAGCAAGTGCTTTTAACTGCTGAGCCTCCTCGCCATCCCTTGCTGCTAACTTTACATTGGGTTGTCTTTTTATTATTGAGCAGGGTACGTTTTCTGCACTTTCTACGTTCAGTTCCTTATCAGCTGTATTATTCACAAATATTCATCTCCCATCCCAGCAGTTGTTTTCTTCACAATCTTAGAGGTGTTTCTGAAGCATGCAAGCCGCCTTCTTCTTTACAGAACACTTAAACTTTTTTATTATTTTTGATATTGGAATAAGCCAGATTCCTTATGTAGGGTATATACAATGTTGCCTGTAAACAAAAAGAAAGAATACATTGATTCTAGAGAAATTAAAGCTTCAAGACTATGAAAGAGAACACTGTGAAGAAGATGAAGAGAGGAGCGGAGCTCAAGAGGACAAATACAACATATTTCTAGCACTAGTCTCATACCCAGAATTTTAAAAAGATTCCTATAAATCAATAAGCAAAAGACACACAAATCAGCAGAAAAATGGGCAAAACCTTTTGTATACGCTTCACAAAAGAAGACATCCATGTGACCAAGACAGCCAACTCCGTTAGTGATCACCTTAACACCACAATGCACTGCTTTTCCATACACCCCCAAATTACTTAAAAATTTAATTTGAAAAATAGTAACAGCAAGGAACTCTTATAAGCTGTCGGTGACAAAATCAATTAAACAACTACCTGGAACACTGTAAAAATGAGCCTGTGTATGGCATTGTGACTCAGCAATTCCACTTCTGAGAATATATCCAGCATAAATACATATGTATACTCAGCATAAAATACATATTATAAGGTACACAGCAGCATTACTTTATTTTATTGTTTTATTCTTCTTTACTTAAAAACAAATTTCCAGGCCAGTGAGATGGATCAGCAGGTAAAGCATTTGCCTCATGAACCTGAGTTTGATCCCTGGAACCCACATAGAGGTGGAAGTAGAAAACCAACTCAATAAAGTTGTCCTCTGACTTTCACATACATGCTGTGGCACGTGTGCCCTTCCCCATTTCACACAAACCCCATACTAATAGTAAAAGTTTAAAGAAAAAACTCAAAACATTAAAAAAGTTATTTGAATACTTATTCTCAACAAAAAATCAGATTTTTTGAGTGACACATAAGCATAAGAAATAGACAAAAATATTTATGGTCTGACTATTCAGAAGCATTCACTGTGAATATTCCATAGCTTGTCCTTATATTAAAATGAGGTCAAATTAATTTTTTCTCATAATTTTTTTGAGACATGGTTTCATGTAACCCAGGTTGGCTTTGAACTCATTATAAAGCTCAGGTTGACCTCATGGCAATTCTCCTGCCTTGGCCTCTGGAGTGCTGGGATTACAGGTGTGCACCAGCTCACCCAGCCTATGCTTTTTACTTATCACTAGTGAGTCACTCTGGTGTTCGGGAACAACCAAGCTCGGCTGTGCCAGGTTGACTCCTGAAACCTGTTAATCTTTTATTTAGAATCTTTGTATCTGTGTTCAGGAATAAGATTCATGCATATTTTCCTTCTTTCCCGCCCCTTCTCCCCCCCACCCCTGCCTCCTCTGTATTTCTTCGTCAGGCTTTGCTTCCTGAACGGAGTGGGGAAAATTTTCTTTTTCTGTGTTGTGGATCAAAGAATATTTTTTCTCTAAAAGACAGCTAGAACTTTCTTCCAGAGAGACTGCTGGCTTCTAACTCCTGTGGCAGTTGTTCTTGAGCTCTCTTTCCCTTTCAGGGCCCTCGGTCTCTTCATGTTTTCTGTTCCTTTTGAATTGATTTTGGCAGATTATGTTTTTCTAGAAAATCACCTTTTTCATCTAGATTTTCCAGGATTTTATAATGAATTTATGCTCATTTTATTCTTCTCCATAATGTCTCTTTATTTTTCACTTTCTCGTTGTTAATGGTGGATCCTGTTTTAGAGATTAATTTGATGAGTATCCGTCTCTTTCCTTGAGGGGCTGCCCCTGCAGTACTCTCCTTTCTAACATGCTCATTTTCACTTACAATTCTCCCATTTTGTAAATGATCAGATTATTGATTTTCATCCTTTTTGTATAAAAATGAAAACATTTGGATTGAATTTTCCTATGCAAGCAGGCCTGCCTGTGACCTGAGTTTTGGTATGCCTCTTGTTAGTATTTTCTAAGTGTCTATGAGTCTAGTTTTGACCTTTGACTCTGGGGTTTTAAGAGCATGCCTTTAAATATCTAACTGCCTGGGGTTTTCACTTAAACATCCCTTATTACTTTTGAGTCTTATTGTTGAATAATCAGAGAGGTGACTATTTTTATTTATTTCTGGGACTTTATTGAGATTTGCTTTGTGGCTTTTCCCCCCTTAAGTGCTCCAAGAGTACCGGAAACGAAGGTATATTTCCTGTTTTCAGTTTTCATGAAGCTTGCCTATCTGGTCGTCACTGCTCTGTCTCTGATGCTTCTCCAAGTTTACTTGGTTTTTCAAGAGCAAGGAATGTGTAGCACCTTTCCCACAACTCTCATGTTTTTGTCTTTTCTTTGTTGAAAACATACTGGTTAGCTGCCTGTCTATGCCTGACTTATAAACTCAAATTTTTAAGCAACTAAGCTGGGAAATAAATCAAGATTTTGGAAGAAACGAGCAACTATACAGGGTTCCATTGTAATGACTCCTACAGCTAAGTCTGTGTGTTTGCTGCATACCCCTGTATATCTTCTGTTTTTTGTGGAAGTGTATGTGTGATTTGGCACATACATCTCCCTTGACTGTGACTATGTAAATATTTTCTCCTGTGTTCTGGTCATTGTGTATGTCTGATATGTATGTCTGCATGCATGTGTGCACTGTAGCATCCTTTTCTTTAAGTTGTCTATGCTGGCCTTTTCTGGAGTGCTGTTAAGTTCAAAAGTTCTGCCTCCCTGCACTTCAACCCATTTGAATCTCTGTTTCTCTTTTGTGGCTACAGAAGACCCTCCTGGTAAGTGGGTTTGATAGTGACTGCTTAACACTGACACCTGCTCTGTCTTGTCTGGGGTCACATCTGACTGTACCACGGGTGCCAAGGACCACACTTCCAGGATGAACAGGGACTCTGGGCATCTTGTGGCAACCTCTCTGCCTGCTTGGATCCCTTGGCCTGGCTCCTTCAAAAGCTGGAACCCAAAGGGTTTGGCTTTGACTTAAAGGGAACCTCAACCTTCTCAGAAACTCCATAAAAGATTCTCAGTTTGCTGTGTAGACCAGTGAAACTTATGGGAGATGTCCTAGCCACCCTTCATTCATTCTCCAGATACCTTGCTCTTAGCCTTTCTCACTATATTGGCTGAATCACTGGTGTGGAGAGGTACAGCTGGAGTGCCCGGGCCGGGGTGGGTTTCTGGAGCTTGTTGATTTCTTAGGAGCAAGGCACACTTTAGGACACAACCAGAGAAGCATGAGGCAGGAAATGAGTAGGCTACAGCCACAGGGAAGGTGGAGAGGGAGGTATTTGCTGCAGTAGGAAGTGGGCCCTTTCTTGCAAATATGACTGATTAGAAGATGGAAAGAGCAGAGCGAGTTGTCACAGTTTCCTGTTTGCTGATCCAGGTCCCCACACTTAAGTGTATTTTTAATAAAAAGACTTAGAAAATGTTTGCTGGTATTCAGGGACTCTGTCTTGGTTTCACCTTGGGACTTCTATGTTCTCATTTAATGCAGTGAGTGGAGGGGTGGACTGGGTCTCTGAAAGCCCAGATCTCCTGCATTGTATTCTTAGGCAGTAGTACATTCTTAACACCCCCTCTTCCAAAGTACTCTGTGCAACTACTTGCTCAGTTTATCCTTGGGATGCCGCCATGTTATGCCAGCTTCACAGAAAGAAAAGGAAGGTCTGAGTACCCCCATTGGGACACAAGAATGAGGCGGAACCAGGCCAGAGCCTCAGCAGTCAGTACTAGGCAGATGTTGCAAGCTGGTAACAGTCTGCACCATCTTTGACCAGAAGCTCCCAGCATCCCTTAATCACTTGCAGGCAAGCTTGAGGACCAGGCCTGCCCATAGCCTTGGGTGGAAAAATCACACTCAGAAGGCTGTTCCTTGGCCGTTGGTTTTGTAAACTGTCTCTTTCTTTCTTTTTGCCCAGGAGGAGGAGTTTATTGACTGGTGGAGCAAATTCTTTGCCTCCATTGGGGAGAGGGAAAAGTGTGGCTCCTATCTGGAGAAGGATTTTGATACTCTGAAGGTGAGTGAGGCATCTCTTCAGAACAGTTCCTTCAGTCTAGCAGTCTCTGGGCATCTGGGATGAGCAACGGGGCTACAGTGGGGGACTGGAGCTGTTTTCATATGTGTGACTTCTGAATTACTGAGTCTAATTAATTAGGATGAGAGGGTCACCCTAATTTAGAGTGCTAATTTGGAATGAGAAATCAGTGTGGGATATGATAACCAAGAAAATATTTCTGGGAGAACGTCGAAAATATTGAAATGACTGCTAGGGGATGTAGCTCAGTGGTAGAGTATTGGCCAGCATGTATGAGGTCCTTGGTTCAATCCAAACAGGCCAGCAAGATGGCTCAGCAAATAAAGGTGCTTGCCACCAAGTCTAGTGACCTGAGTTCTATCACTTGGTGGAAAGAGGAAACCAACTCCTACAAGTTGTCCTCTGCCCTCCACACGAGTGCCGTGGTGAGAACACACTGAGCAAACGAATGAATCAGTAAATGTAAAAAAAAAAAAAAAGAAAGAAAATATTGAAGTGTTTATAGGGAAAACGATGTTTAGGATTTGTTTTAAAAGGCCTCTTCAGGGGCTGGGGACATGACTCAGCAGTTAAGAGCACTGGCTGCTCTTGCATAAGACCTGGGTTCACTTCCCAGCACCCACATGCAGCTAACAGCAATCTGTAATTGCAGTTCCGGGGGATCCAATGCCCTCTTCTGACCTCCGTAAGCCTTGCATGACACAGATGCACTGACATACATGAAGGTAATACACTGATGCACATAAAATAAAAATATTAAAATATTGAAAATACCTCTTTAGGTTCCCCCAAAGTAAGAAGAAAGTAAGCGTGGCCCTCTGACAGATTTTCAAAATACTAAGAATTATTAAAATTGCAAATCACTGACCTTTTAACCTTGGTGGGTACTAAAGATTTGTGGTGCCACTTCGTCACTTTTGGTGGTTTTAGAAAACTATTCTGTGATAGAAAGTCTGTATTAAGGTAAAATGTGAGCTCAGCTTGAGAATGGACTTCTGACCCCTGAACCTTGACTCCTGCCATTAGGCCAAGTTACCTAGGAAATTCAATGAGATACTAAATCTTGTTTCTGTGGATAAAAACAGAGTAAGCTGGCCAACTTCTTTTGGGGAAGTTCTACAAATATAATTATACTTTAAAAAATGAGTACTTAAAAAAAAGATAACCAAAGGTGACTAAAAAATTGTTCCCCAAGGAGTTGTGAGGTCTCCCTTGTCTGTGGTCAGGCTATATCTGAATGTCGGGCAAGCAATGAATGACTTTTAAAAATAAGTATGCCTCAAATATGATGTGGGGCATACTTATCTGAAAATTGTTTTTTTATGTGAAACTTGAGTGCAGTCATTTGACTTGTATTTTCATTTGTGGAATTCATTTCATTTCTGGACTATAAATGAGGGGGATTCTGTACCCCATAGTCACCTTACGGCCAAGAAAATAAGTACAGGGCACAGACTGAGAGATGTACAGGAAGGACCTGTGGCCTGGTCAAAGGGCTAGAGGAGGGAAAGTTGAGGCTAGGTGGGGTGGTGGGTGGCCAGGCTCTCTGCTGATGGAATTGGCTGAAAACCCTGGGTGGGACTCTACAAGGTGGCAGTGCCCCCTTGGGTCCACTGAACTCTCTGGTAGGTTGCATCTGAGTCCTGGCTGCTCTGCTCCAAGGCTACTGGTGTCCAGTAGCAGTACCTCAGGCAGCAAATACTTGCCTGGCTTCATGGCTGGACGAGTGAAGTTGGGCAGAAAGACAGAACTGTTTGTGCACCAGGAAGAAGGTCTGACACATTAGATCTGGCATGTGGTACTGTGGCCTTGCCAAGAAATGAGACAGACGAAGTAAGAACAAGGATTACTGCCAGGGTGGCCCACAGCCCTGGCCCCTCACTGCTCCCTAGAGTGCTAGATGCAGATGCAGAGCTGGCATGAGGCCTCCAGCTTGACCTCTCTGAGGAGGTCTCCAAGGCAGCCAAGTGAGAAGAGGCTCTCCAGAGCAGAGGCATCTAAACTATTTCTAGGGCAAAAGCTAGACCTGGAAGGAATGCTGGTCCTTTAAGGATAAGTAAATAGAAGGAAACCACCACCTCCAACAAGGCCTTTGAAAGCAGCCTATAGTGGAATACGCAGTGGGGAGAGGACAAAACTACATCTTGGAAATCATGAGCACAGGGGGAAACTCTTCCTGATCTAAATAGCAAAGTAAAGAAAATGAAAGCACAGCAAAATGCATTAGAAACAAATTATAGAAAAACAGTAGAAAGAAGCAAAATATGTCAGCTTTCCTAATAAACAGTAATGGATTAAACTCTCCTATTAAGTGATGAGGACTCCTAGACTACAATAAAGCAAAATTCATTGCATTGTCTAAAGAACTCATCTAAAACAATAGAATAGTGGAAAGTCAACATTAGACTCCCATGCCCTTATCAGCCCTGTCTGAAATAATTACCAGATTCTCCCATTTTAGGAGAGTATTTTGGGAAGCAATGTTTTGTTGAAATTTTGTCAAACACAATCAGGTAAATGTAAACAAAGGGAATCAGATAGAATTTAAAATAAAAAGCAAAAGAAACAAAACAGAAGGTTTCATATAAATAAAAGATGTGTATGCCAAGGAAAAGACACCTAAAGTTTAGAAATACTCAGAGCAAAAATAGTTAGCAATATATAAACTTGTACCTCACAAAATAACATCACAGAATGACAGAAATTAAAGTCAAAGTGGAGATTTTAATATCTATCTTTATCAAACCGTCAATAAACAATAAGAAAATAAAGACCAAACAACAAACTTGTTTTTTAAGCTACAGCAAGTTAAAATTGCAGCTTAACATGATGCTAAATTTTTAGTTTTAAAACACAGAACAAAATAATAAAAAGTAGAAGATGAAAATAATAACAAATAAAATTTCCCCCTAATGCTCAGAAAACACATAAAATCTGATCACATATTAAGTTAGTAATAAGTTACCCAAGGCAGAAATCAGTCAAGACAGATAAAAATGTAATAAATTGGGAAATTAATAACAAAAGTTTAAACAAAAAGTCCAACCAGTTGGAAATTTGAAAGTATTTTATTAGGACTTGAGCATGAACATGGCTGCATAAGTCAGCATTTTCCCCCCTTTCTCTTGGAAATCATTCAAACCCACAAAATCCATTTTTTAGAGAAGCTGGAAACAAATAAAAGCCGCAGACTCCAAAATATAAGTGAGGGGTGCTCCAGGACAGTGGAGACTGGGCAGAGGCCACAAGCATGGAGGACGATGGAACTCCCAAGGACAGCAGATCTCAGACAGCCCGGTGAAAATGTGCTTCCAAACCAGAGAATGCTGATAATTACTTCAGACAAGGGATGGATGCATGGGAGTCTGTTAGTGGTTCTCTCCACTTTTGTATGCTTCAAGAGTTTCAGAAAAGTTTCAAAACAAAGTGCTTGCATCATGAAATAGGAAGTCAAAGGGAAACAAGCAGGAAGTCTGGAGACGGGCTCAAGGTGACCACAGAAGCCTCGACCTGGTTTGATTCAGAGAGGCTGAGAAGGCAGAGCTACATAGGACTCATGTGGAGGAGCCATGTCTTCATGAGATCCTCTGCTTCCATAGTGGGAAGGAAGGAAACAGCCAGGCTAGGAAAAGCCAACTCATTATTGGCAAATAACAGTAAATATAATAGCCCAAAATTAGATCAGAAATCCAATGAGAAACAAGAGGAAGTAGAAATCAGACCAATTAAAGAAGATTGCTGCTTATTAGAACAATCTTGCCAAGGAGCAGAAGAGACAGAATGTTTGGCTGTGAACATTTTAGAAATGAGAACTTCAAGACGCAAAGCAGGAATGAAGGAACTCACAGATTGACGACCATGAGCTGAAAGGTCTTGGGACCGAAAGAAGACAGCATGAACTTGCAGGTGCACAAGGTAGAAGGGTCATACCAGAAGCACAACATAACAAAACAGAAATGATGGATGCACGTGGAAGGAAATGGGAATGAAGAGAAAGTTACAAAGAAATAAAGGGAAAGCGGCAGGTGTATGAGCGAGGGAAAGGAGACCCAATACTGCTGTAATTGGAGTCTCTGAGAATGGCTGCCAAAATGGTGACATCAAACAGATAAACATATGTCCTGGTTTGTTTCTTCATTGCTGTGACAAAACACTCTGACCAGTACCAACTTGGGGAGGAAAGGGTTTATTTGTCTTACATCTCCCAGGTCGCACGCAGTTCATCAGGGAGCCCAAGGTAGGAACTCAGGGCATGAACCTGGAGGCAGGAGCTGGAGCACAGGCCATGGAGGAATGCTGCTTACAGGCTTGCTCTCCCGGCCCCTGCTCAGCCTGCTTTCTTATGTAACACAGGCCCACCTGCCCAGGGGTGGCACCACCCACAGTGGGCTGGGCCCTCCCACATCACTCATCAAGAAGATGCCCTTCAGACATGGCCACAGGCCGGTCCAATAGAGGAAATTCCCCAATTGAGGCTCCCTCAACCCAGGTGTGTCAAGTTGACACTAAAGCTATCCAGCACAACATATAATTGCTTAATCAAGCTTCAATGTGATGAATTTTTTTTGAAATGTCTACTGTGTGTGAAGACAATGACCCAGACTGGTCAACTTTAGACATAGTCTAGTGTAGAATGCTTATTGTAGTTTAGAGATAAAGAAGGAATTCTTTGGGTAGTCATACATGCTTCCCATTCCCTGGCAATATTAAGCCATTTAAAATAGAAAATAAATCAAGGTGGCTTCAGTTTCTCCCACCATAAAGCAGCATATTTAGGACCACCAGGGACACAGCGCGACTGAGGATTTCAGCTGTGCTGCCCACCAAGCATGAAGGCAGCAGCCATCTGGCTCATGTTTAGCACTAGGAAACAGGATGGAGCTGGGACTGGCAAGCTGGGGCTGGGAATAGTGTAGCAGAAGGGCTGGGTGTGGTCACATTGACCTTATAAATCAAGCAGAAGAGGTAGACATGTAAAACAC